TGGCTCTAGAGTTGTGCGAATGGGTCCTTTGCACATCTTATTGAAGCCTCGATTGATCGTGAGGAGCTTTCGTTTTTTACGTGAAGGAACTATTGGCGTCGCAGCATGCTGTATAGAGAATGATTAGCACAAATATGCTAACAACTCCGGGTCAGTCCTCACTTGGCTTTCTGTGAAGCCAAAAATATGAATTATTTGGGTTTTTTCAAAAGCCACCCTCCCCTCATCCGAGTTGATCACTTGATAATACTGGTTCAATATTATATTGTCTCATTTCGTAATATTTTGAGAGGTATTAAAAAGTATTTTAGATGCGTCTTAGTAACAAAGGGTTATTTGGACAATAAAATTATAGCTTATTCATATTGTTTCGACCTATGAGTTTATCTAAGGCAGGTTATTATCAAACGATAGGCAGGACTAAATACTTTCGGCAACAATAGGATTATCATTATTTTCTCAAGGGATTTTTCAGCTCACAGACTTCATAAGTCTGAGGACGAGTTGCATGATTAAGCTCTTCTTCAAATCTGAATTTCACATAAGGCCAATTATGATAATTTGGATAACTATTAGAGATTTTGTTAAATCTGAAAGTTTTTGCATTGCAAAAACCCGCCTTGATGATGAAAACTTAGACTAGAAAAACTTCTGTAAAAGACATCGCAGCATGTGAATGGTGAATTTTGTGAAAATAAGCTAAGGTTGAAACTTCTGATAAATCACTGTTGGGATGACTTAAAAATCGTGCAAAATCGCAAGAGAATGGTATTAATAAATTAATCCCACCATCAACTCAGGACGGGCTATTTTTGACTTGTGAAATGTTAATACTGCAACGTATTTACTAACCTTCGCTTACTATGAAAGTTTGCCCTCTCTGTCATATACCAGATAGAGTGGGAGCTGGAAGCCCCTCCTATGAGGGGCTTTTGGCGGGCTAACTTTATCAGCAATTCTTGCTCTTTGTATAGGGCAAGAGGATGATGTCTGGTTTATTTTCTTGTCCACGCGTTCTGGAGTATTTTTTGTATGAGTAGAAGCTCAGCAAATATATACAAAAGTGGTAAAATAGACGTACCACACATCCTAGACCATCAAAATGTATTCGGTTTGCCCCAGGAAAACGCACGGCTGATTTGATGAGTTTTGCGTATGAACTCACTTCCGAGTACGTGACAAGAGACAATGCAATATCTAAACCAGTATAATGATAGATAAAGTAGAGCCCCTTTTTTTATACAACCGAGACTACTCTTGTCATTTTTCATATTCAACATATTACCAGCCTGGTTGATTTCGATGAACCTGCTTCCGTTTTTCTTAACAGGATACCAGTCCTTGATCATTTACTGAAATATAGTGAATATATCTCATATATATGATCAACTGGTAGTCTTGAAAACATACTTAAATGCGAAAAATAAGTAAGTGATTCGATTGCTAAAGCAAATACAACTTTGCTCCATCCACAATACCACTACAGAATGTGATATTGGAATTTTCCAGACCTTCTTTAAAATGAACATCTTCCCTGTAGCACATGGGCACTTATGTAAATGTGGCATAGTGATTGACGTGTCGAGATTTTACGCCTCATTATTATAGTTAGAGTGCCGCTGAGGGTGTTTAAAATAAATGCAAGATCGAAAAGGAAGTTATTCTGTATAAGAATACCTTTTGTA